AATTGCAGCCGTCTTTCTATGTAGAAATCTAATTGTACAAGTGCTTTTATCCTTTTGTTGTGCTGAACTGCTAATTACAGCTATTTAATAACAACATTTTTAATTTTGATGCCCATATTTGTGAGAACAATATATTTTTTGCATATTGTAATTTTTGGGATTATACAAGTATAACTACGGATGCCAACCACACATGTTTGAGGCGACTTAAATGGGTTGAATCATTTTTTAGTTAACAATAATAGAGCTCAACATAATGTTATGGATGTAAAATCAGATTTGGTGTGTTACAATAAGTACAAGGATAATTATATTCTGGTTGGATTTGTTTAACTACCTTGTATGACTAAGTAGTTCATGGACTGCAATAATTAGGGATGATAGAATTAAGGATGATGGAACCATGAGATCTTAATCAAGTTTTGTCACTATTTTTTCATTTTATAATTTACCTTTTAGACATCATATGGCCTTAGGATTTAATTGGGTAAGGTCGTTCTGTTATGATTGTGCTTTATGTTTTGTGCATGTTTGCTCATTAGACGCTTATTAGGATGAATAAATAACTTTTCTTACCACTCACTTTTGCATGCTAGTCTAGGTTGCTTTAGTTTTCTTTGCATGTTTCTAATTAGCTTGGGATGTGTTAATTTTATTTTGTCGGGCAATTGTAGTTAATTCTGAGTTGTCATAGTAAGTGTATGTTTTCTTTCACCAATATTATTTTTTTTATAATGTTACGATATATGTCATAGTTGGTCAACTATTAAAATCCAATTCATCTAAGAGAAGTTGAACGTAAAACGAATGATGAACCTCAACTAAACTAACAATAATGTTTAGATGACAATATTGGCCGATGAATCTGACATGAGTCTAGAGTTGGTACCCTTTCGTTGTCTTTATTGTTTTTATTGATTGTGCTCGATAACTCTGCCAAATTTCAGGTCGACATTTTATTTGAATTTTTGTTTGGAATTTTTATAGTCTCATTAAAGACTAAACCTTCAATCAAAACTAATTAACTTTAACATAAGTTTTCAAAATTAAAGAAACATAACTAAAATAAAAAATAAATGGATCACTACATTCACTACTTTAAAAGCGTCATGCATTTAAAACAATAAAATTGATATTAAATAAAATTGAATAAAAACCTCTTCGATATTTAGGAATAACCACAAAAAGATAATTTAGGCATGTGCATTGCAAGTAGCTTATATTCCTTGCATTCAGACTCTCACTCATTGCATTAAAGAGATAGTTTGCCCTGTGAGGATCACCTTCTTATGGAATGAGTCTGTCTCTACATATCATTCGGCCTTACGAATTGATCTTCTAAACATTCATCTTTAAGGACTTACATCTATACACAACTTGCTCCATTCACTTGACACTAAGAGGTAACAAAATTATAAAATATTTGACCGTTGATCGGAGCGCTTCTTTCGGTCACAATTGCCTTGGTTGTTTCTCCGTTGAGAAAAGATGTATATCTTAGCT